CACACCATATCTTTGTCCTGTATTATTGTCTTTACCTTACAATATAAAGCACCTTGAGGCAACTGCTGCTGTGTTTTGATGCTATTTAAATAAAGTTGTGTTGAGAAAAATGTTTTTTTTTAAACAGACACATGTGTTCTAAACTTGGATGAGTAGTTTTGCAGAGCTAAAAAACTTTTTATTCAAGTTCAAAACATGTCAAAGCATGAAAAAGTCTTCCTACATGGTTGAGTTTCTTTTGCATATTTCTCCTGGAAAATTGCGATGAGCGCTGGCTTCCTGACTTCCCTTCCACTCTGGCTTTCAGGTACAAGCCCAGCTGGAGAAAGTGAGGGCAGAGTTGGAAATGCAGAGCCAACAAACAGCACGGCTGGAGAACAGCTGCAGGGCATTGGAACGCTCGCTCAGCCAGTCAGGCAAGAGATTACAGGTCAGCTCAACTGTTTAGTTGTTTATTTTAGAGGCCCCCCCTGGCATTTTGCTTCAAATATTGTGTTCCCATTAACTTCGGAAGAGGCTGAAGAATTCAGATTTCAAGAAAGTGTTTTAAAAAAATCTTATTAAGAAGTCGGAAAACTTTGGCTCCGCTGACGCTGGTTTAAAAATTTAGTCCTCAGCACACAGGTGGAACCATAGAAATCTAAGCTCATTAAGTTGTGGGCAGTGAAGCAAAGCCTTATCTCTGGCTCGCAGCGATGTGCGATGGATCTTTGCCCGCATGCATCCTAGTATGAAGTAGGGTGAAGTCCAGCAAGATGTGGGAAGCGTGAGGTAACGAGAAGGGAATGGGAGGGAGGGAATTAGCAGCATTCTTTGCCTGATTAGAGAGGGGCCTGAATAAGTACGCAATCCCCTGCCCGGAGTTGTGTAATCATCTGTGAGCTGATACTTTTCTTTGGCTGGCTCAACTACACTATGACTCTGGAGAGATTCTGAGCAGAACATGGATCTTTTTTTCATTTTGACCTAATAAATTCACCTCCGTTAGAGTAACTTCCTGCACTCGAAAAGTTTGGTAAGCTGTGGATTTGTTCATGTGCAGTACTTTTATCAGACAAGGCATACAGTTCATTTTATTATCCTGGTGTTTTTTTTTTTCCTTTATAGGAGAAAGAGCAGGAGCTGGAGCAGCTGACAAAAGAGCTTCGACAGGTCAACCTACAGCAGTTCATTCAGCAGACTGGTACCAAGGTCACTGTGCTGCCAGCTGAACCATCAGAAGACATCAGCAGCGGTATAAATACACGTACACACTGACAGAAACTCTACAAGATCACCACCTTCTTGAAAGCATTTAGTTTTACTGTAAATGCTGATTGCAGCTGAGGCATTCTACATACTGTATTGCTTTTAGATGT